CTTGACTTAAATTCAACTTTACAATACTCTAATTGTAATGCAAATAAACTATTTAATGTAGAGCCTGTTCTAGAGAAGCGGTTCTTCATTAAGTTCATGTTGGTGATGAAAGCTGGGATTGCCGTCAGTCAGTCATTCTCAACATGTAGACTGCTGCTTGTATTTATCAGAGGAAGTGGGTCAGTCTTCTATGCCATAAAAACTTTAGTATTACTATCCAAATAGTTTCTGATGTTAATTGTATGTAGTTTTACTGTGAATGTCTTGCCTTTATATTCAAGGGTTATTTTCCAGCCCAGTTATCAGCATACTCTGGAAGGATTGAATTGCTTTGTGCCTACAGTAAACATCTTGATAATTATCAAAATATCATAAATACATGTTTTAAAGTGAGAGCTTTGTTTCACTCTGATTACCAGATCTGAAGTTTTCAGTCTACTTCAAGACTTCAGTATTTTTTTTCCTATACTGATTTACTCTGAGAGGTTGCTGTGGTTTGGGGTCAGGGCCGCCCCCAGAACCATAACAGACGCTCTCTGTTAACCCCCTTCCCCCACCCCTGAAAGGTAAAGAGAAAGGGAATAAGGGAGAGAGACTGGCTGATTAGAAAAGAGAACAGTTTTAATACTACCACTAGTAATAATAGTAATTATAATAAGTTAGACTGTGTATAAATATATACAAAGTTAGTCCCGAACCCAACTCCCCCCCCGATGGCAATACGTCGCCGTAACCCCTGGCTGGGGAGCAGCCCCCGGGGAGAGGGTCCCAGGCTGGACTCAGCCACCGAGGGACTGGGCACAGGAGCTGGATTCTGGGACTCGGTTCAGGCACACAGGGCTGGGATCAAAGGCAGGATGGATGAAGTGCTCCTCGGATGCTGGCCAACGGAGGAGAAGCAGCCAGCAGCCCAGCAGCAGAAGATGGAAGAGAAGAAACTTGGAAGGGGCGACGGGAGGCCTTGCCCCTCCTGATCCTTCAGCTGTCACTGGCTGTGAGGGATATGGGATGGAACACCCCACTGGTGAATCTTTGGGTCAGTTATTCTGCTCGCTCCTCCCTGCACGTGTGGGGTACTCTCTGCCTCCTCTGTGTGGGATCCAAGCTTAGCAGTGGCCTTGGTCTGCACACCAATCCCTGGCAGTAACTCTAAACATGAAGTATAATCACTGCTAAAACCAGACAATTTGCAAAAACACTGATAACTTCAGGCAGAGCAGTTAATTAGAAGAGCTTTAGCTAAAAAGTAAAATCACTGAGCAGAACCAGCTCTATTTACCCCAAACCAGGACAGAGGTACTATGTCCTGTCAACCCTAGGGCTCAGCTTGCTGGTGCCCTGTGAGAAGAGTGGGCCCAGACTGTTGCCAGCATCCTCTTGGCTGCTTCCTTGTGCTTCATCTCCAAATTCATACGGTGTCTGCTCGGACACCTTTTTTTCTTGAGCCTGTTCCATGACTTGGTCTTTTTACCCACTAGCAACTGTGATAGTAACGCGAGTCTTACCTGAACATGGGTTCTTCTGCCTTAAGTTGCTGATGAAGGTAAGGAAGTTTCAGCAGTGCTAGAGCAGTTGCTGTTAGGCCTCTCTGCAACTAACTTCTGTTCAAGGCAGGGGAAAAAGGTGGTATCTGTATAATGTACACTTAGGCCCCTATAACTGCTAAGGTGTTCTCAGTGGCCAAACCAGCTAAATTAGTGAAGTTTTTGGAGTGAAAAAGATTAGTTGTTATCAGATGAAATGTTAAAAAAAAAAGAAAAAGGAGAGTGGATAAAATCTCAGAAGGTGTTGGTGAGTGTGGGGCTGTGTAGCTCTTGTACACAAAAGGGCATGGAGAAATAGGATGGATGGAGAAGGGGCAGCATATGAAAACTACTGCTTGGAAGCCACAAGATATAAAAGGGCTTTTATTTACAAGCATTTGCTGATAAGATGAGGAACTAATATGGAGGAGAAGCAGCTGAGTGTTTGGGTTCAAATGGAGAAGGGTTAATAGTGTAGCAAAGGGAAGGTGCAAGGTTAGGCAGAAATGTAAAGGTAAGTTTGAGACAGAACATCAACAAGATTCTACCAGTAGAATGGAATTCTTTGTCGTGTGTTAAAATCCCTTGATGAGGGACCAAATTTATGTTCTCTGATGAGAACAGGAGATAAAACATTGTTCTGTAACTTTATATGACATAAAGTGAGGCTTGGAAAACTCGCAGCTTCTCACAATTAACATACTGTCTGCGTCACTGCCGCAGCATTCTTACGGTGAGAAAAAAGATGAGAAAATAGTTTTCCAATACTCTGAATGCTTGCCGAATGTCAGCAGAAGCAAATGACAAATCATTGCTGTGTGTGGGATATCAGCAGAGCCACTCAGGTTGGGTTTTTTTTTTTTTTTTTCTCATTATTCACAAAATTGGCTTGCTTCTGTAGTTAGATTTCTAAACTTGTTAGCAGCTGGGACAGCCAGAAGGTGACAGACCTTGGAGAGGTCATTAAAGACTCGTATGTACCATAAAGGGCAAGTCTGCACTTCTTTATGTATCCCATTTTTAAAGTTGCTTTGGCCATAAGTAACTTCTGTGTATAATGAGCTTTACTGAAAGCTGGTTATGGGTGCTAAGAAAAGCGCTGCTGATGAGGAAATCCTGTTCCTAGTGGCTGTGTAGCTGTTTCTGTAAGGAACAGCTGCAATTATTCACTTCTTTACTTTCAGACAGCCTCTAAAAACAGTTGGGTTTTATGACACACACTATTCTCTGAGAACAGCAGCCCTAAATTCAATAGATGCCAAGGCATGACATGAGTATTGAGACACTGTCAAGATTAGGAGAGAAAAATCACAGCAGAACAGGGTATAAGTGGGGAAATGTATTTTTAGAGTTACTCTTTTTAACATGCTGTGAATGCTGTGATTTTTGCCAATTTGAGTGTTTTGTCATTTAGTTCTTATCTACTCAGACTCTATGAACAATTCTGGGCAGTTAAATGTGTAAAACTTTTTCCTCTGTTTGAAAAACAGAAAACAAAATCAAACCCTTAAACTCATGAAAATTTTGATGATGAATTATCAGTTTCTTCAGAAGGCGACTTCATCCTTGGTTCCTGAGCAGACTCCTACCAAAGGAATAAGGTCAGTACATGCTCTTTAAAAAAAAAAAAAAAAAAAATCTTAGTTATCAGCTTAGGTTTCACCAAGTACTGGAGCAAAAAGAATCAAAATCTTCCAAGAACTAATTGCAAAGCAAGATGATCTATGTGACTGACAGCAGATTCATTGGTTGTAATTGGATTACAGATGTTGTTGAGTGCAGTTATTTGCAAATACTGTGGTGACCTAAATCAAATCCATGCAACACCTACCTGAAATTGCCTTATAAGCTATTCTGAGTTATGTTAAAGATGCTGAGAAATTCAGTCACAAAAAAACCCAAACCAAACAACCTAAAACCAAATGAACCAATAGAGAGATCTAAGCATAGTGACTTGGATCAGTAAATATATAACTGATAATTGTGATGCTAGATGTGTGAGACAATTATTTAAAAGGAACTCAAGCAAGGCACTAAAGAAAATATTTTTCAAAAAATCAAATAATATCAGTACTGGTCTCCTTCAGTTGCTTTTACCTGCCTCTTAAGATTTTTAGAATACTTTTTTTTTCTGGTTCCAAGTGTGTGAAGCTAACAAATTATTAGCTTCTGTCAGCATCTCTTTGTTCTTTCGTAGCTTTCTCTTTAAAGATCGTTTCAAAGATGTACTGTGCCATTGGACTTGCTCCTCATCTGTTGGGATAGAAATGTTTTCCTTCTATTCAGAATGGTTAGTGAATTGTGTCTTCATAACAGAGTCTTCCCAGGGTTGCTGGCCAGCCTCCTGCAGTTTCTGGGAATGTGGACCTGCTTGACTTCTGGATGACTTTCCCCTTCAAGGACTATGTCAGTGACACTTTGTGTGTTAAAAAGGCCTTGGGCCATATTCAGAGAAAACATTATCTGACATTTGTTACCTTTTGACTTAGAAAAAGTTACTTTTTATCAAGCTATTGATATTCTAATAGAGTCGTTTTGAGCCACCTTTGATTTGCCACTTTAAGTAAAACCCTGAAGTGCATACAGGATGCATGGATGCTTTTTTTTATAGAGAACTGTAACTTAGTAATAGTAGGTTGTCTTTTTTTAAATTGCCCTTTTCATGTCATCACATCTGCAAACTGCAGGTGATGTCCCATCAGCTAGATCTCCACAGCTGACTTTTCTGCAAGGTTTGAATTCAATTCTGTTTCTTTGAGAAAGAAGGATTTCATTACTCTCTACCTCCTGCAAGTGAAAATTTACTTTTTAAAATGGTATTGAATACTGCTTCGACTTTACCTGTTGTTACAAAACTGTGGAAATTCACAGACACTTAATCCACTAATTTGGTTCAAAAAGCAGAAGATATTAGTACATGCTATGTCACTGTGTAGGGCAAGTCCCATGGGTAAAACACAATAGTAATAATGTAATGGTAATTTCAGTGTTACATTTATTATCCACAGAGAGAAACAGAACAGTGCACATCAGAGCCAAATTCTAGTACCAACAATAATGTGAAAGTAACTATTATTACTATGACTCAGCAAAAACTTTATTATCAGTTATAACTACTGAGTAGTTTACTCATTTTGACTATCCTAGAGTTGATTTTCATAAAATCTATTCTTTCTTTTTTACAAGTACCCTTCTAAACAAAAGTCCATGGTTTCTGGCCTGAATCACCCTTTGGAATTATGGTGGTTTTAAATTGGACAGATCCAGGCTTTGTACATCTCGCTGTGAAGTCTAGTTCTATAACTTGGATTTCTGAAGTCGGAGGCAGATAGAGAGTTGTACTGTGGGGAGAAACCCTAGCAAAACCAGCCCATGGTATTTAACAGTTTGTAAAAGCCACACGCTGCGTTTTAAGACACAGCCGTACCTGCTGTATGACATAAACACTATGGGAGCTTTGTATTACATGTTTCTGTCTCAGCTATTGAAGTTTGTTCTCCTGCTTTGCAAAACATTAGCAAATCCATCAAATGCTCTTTTCTTCTTAACAAAAAACTGGCCTTGTCCTAAATTGGTCTCACTTTTTTGACTGAGTTTTTCACTTGTATTTTGGAGGTTGATGGCTGTTGTAAAATTGTCCTCCAGTCCTGTCAAAGTAGTGTTATCCTCTGTCTTGCTGGAATCGGTGCTTTTGGAGATTGTATTTCCTGCAGACTCCTGTGGGAATGAACATGAACTGCATTGTGTGGTTTCGCTGAGGAAGCCTTGTGGGACTGCGAAGGAACAGGCATCCTTGTCCCTCTGATCTGGTTGGAGGTGATCTTCTGTGTTGAAGCCTGGTTGTGTTTTCCCGGCAGAGTGAAGATGCAGCAAATCTGCTGTAAGATTGCAAGACTGCGCTTCTTTGGGCAGACAACAGTTGCTGGTATCTTGTAATTCTGTGTATCCATCACAGTTCTTCTCATTAAAACCTCTTTGCATCTTATCTTCACAAGCCTTAGTTATGTTCACCTGCCTCCCCTGTGGTAAGTCGTCTTGCTCTGTAATAACCATAAAATGTTTTCCAGTTGTGTGATCAGGCAGAGACTGAATACACAACTCGTTGCTGAAATGAAATGGTGATGTTTTTTTAGCAATTTCATTCAAACTAGTATCAGTGAGAGCAAAAATAAAATCATCATCCTCTGATGTACTTGAATTTCTTCCTAACATAATGTCCCCTTCACCATGATTCTCTTCAGAGTAGTTCCTTTCTCTGTGTTCACCTGTACTTCCCTCTGGTGCATTTTCTTTTTGTTCAGTGGGACTGAGGGAATGCTGAGGATCAATGGGAATCTGATAAAGCTGCGATTCAGCCTCTGCAGGAGTGGTCTCTGCATCTGTCTCATCCATGGGAGAGTGTTTTAATGAAAGTAACGTATTGCCAAAAGCTGGACTTTGATTGTGGAGGGAGTCAGAAATAGGGTTTTGTACTGTTGGCTCTGCATTAATAAAATAATCAAATATATTGGAAACTTCTTGACTTGAAGAACTAATAGAGTCTGACATGCTTACGTGGTCACTACGTTTATCAGCATAAGGTGATGCTGTTTCAGGCATGATGGTATCTGATCCATAATTAATAGTGGTTTCAAAATACGCATTATTCTTGTCTTCATTTTTCCCAACACGCTGAAGTTCAGCAGCAATGTTTGGAGGCTCTGGCAGTGTTGAGAACTTCTCAGTTCCACTGTTCACATTGGCTACCTTTAGTGATGGCTGACAGACTGGCAAGTTGTCACTAGCGTCAGGTTGTTCCAGTTCAAAGTCTGCTAAAGAACTACAGTCACTCATTGTGAATGGAGTCCCTTCGTCTGAAGAACTGTTGCCAAATATATCTGCTGAAGTACCTTCTTCATTTGTATGTTCCACTTCACGGCCGTACTCTGTAAGAGGAGAGTTTTCTATTGTTTGATAGACACTTAAATTCTCAATATTTGTATCTCTTTTACAGCTACTGGATAAAATGAAATCTCCCACATCACCGGTTATGTTCATGTTGCTGTTCAGACCAAGTTGTTCATCACTGCTTTGCCCTCCAGGCATAAACTCTGTAGTGCTGATGGGTCCACTATGTGAAATGATACCTCTTCTTTCGGGAGAATCCGGTGTAGCCTTCGTGGTTTCAGACTGCAGCAAACCAGTGCTGTTGCTTACCTTGCTGTTCCTAGAATCTGGTGCAGCTCTATGGGCTTGTGTTGTGGAAAATGGACAGCCAGTTTCTCCAGTGAAGGATAAACTTGAATCTGAAGAGTCGGTGTGATTTGAGTAAGAGTCAGCATTCAATCTCCTGGCTATGGGAGGGAACCTGCTCTTGGTGGTGTCTTCGTTATTTCCATATTTTGAATCTTTCTGTAATGAAATGTCATTACTCATTAATTTTCTTGGTGTTACTTCATTACTTTTCTTGTAATCTGTCCTTACAGCAAAAAGTTCATCAGCAACATTTATATTTTCATCATTACTAATACTAATTTTGATGTCTGAAAACACTGGTTTTTTTTTCACGTTGATGTCCTCATTGCTTTGTTTCTGGTACTCTTCTTCAGTATTTGGAGCATGTACACTGCCACCAACGACGTTTTCATACAAAGCAGAAGTTTCTGCAGGAAAAATGTGTGCATTTCTGGAAGAATTCTCCTCACAAATGAAGAAGTTACGCTGTGTTTTTGTTGGTTTAATTGCAGAACACTCTCTGCTCAAGGTTTCATCTGAAAAAGCTTGATTAGAATACGTATGTTCCGAACCTGAATTTTTGTTCCTGCGCATGAGTCTCCACAGGCTGACGAGGTAGGGTCTAGCAAAAGCACCCAGACAAAAAGCACAAACAAACGTAATGAGCACCGAGAGGCAGACGGCCAGTGCGAGGTCATCATCTGTTCTTCCTTCTCTGAAAACAGCGTTGGTGTCCCGGGCTTTTCTAACCAAAAATGTTGAACCCCTTTCTTTCACTCGTATATTGTAGAAGAGATATTTCTTCTTTGTCATATTAAATATACACAAATACAACCCTTCAGCAGCTTTCTCAGCATTGTATATCACTAAATTATTCATTTTATCCAGTGTCACATGAGGAAGACTATAATCTTTTGCAATTCTGCCTTTAGGTGTCCACCAAGATACTCCATTACCTGCAATAAAAGAAAATACCAATTAAACCTTTCTTAACAGTATAGGATACTTGGTTTGCAGGGTCAAGTTATTCCTATAAGAACATAGTCTTGACCTATCTGGTAATTTTAACAATTTATTATAAAATCCATTTTCTCTTTAGCCATCCATAGTTATTTTACATATACCAAGTATCTTGTTAAACCATCATATATTTCCCCCAACATTTAAAATGCAGTATGGATGGAGTCTTAATAGCAGACTACAGTAAAAATGGCATGGGTGAGGGAGATGGTTACTGAAATTATCTAAGCAGGTTCTGGGTCACACAAGAAACACTTGCTGATCTCCCTTGCGGAAGATCCAGATTTATAGCCAGCTGTTCTCCAGCGTGGCCATGGTCACTGCACGTAGCTGTGAGACAAAACTTCACTAGTTCACTGTCGGTGTTTGTGTCACTGTGATTTTTCCCGTGGTTACTGCTTTGACTCAAGCAAAAAGGTTTGAAAACCAAGGAAATTTGTATCTACTGGAGCAATTGTTCCAAACTAGCTAGTGTGGGCCGTGACTGGTTGTTGGCTTTTGGAGTATGTTTCAAGGCTCTACCCACACCTTTGCCTTGGGATCTGCTTGTGTTCCCAGATGAATTTTAGTGCAGTGTGTTGATTTCTAATCCTATGCTCAGAACTTCTGTGATTTTCTATGTTCATAGACAAAGCAGGTGGAATTTCTGATAGACCTTACATATTTTTATTTTTGGATGGTGTTCTAAAGGGAAAGCCTGACCACTTCATAGTGTTATTAGTCCATTAAGAGTTAAACCATTTTGCCTTATGGCACATGACAAATAAACCTTCCACTCTTAAGTTGGGAAATCTTAGCTCTGTGTTTTTTTCACTTGTACTTCAAGTGATCTATGGTAATTCTGAATGCTGAATTAATCTCCTAAGTGAGTGTGTGCTACAGTAGCTGAACTTTTTTAGACAAAATATAAATCCTTTCCTTATAAGTAAACTTTCATTTCATGTCGCCGTAACTGAATGCTAGAAACACCGTCGTATCCTTCTGTTTTCTGCATGCCCCAAAGTGCCACCTCACTATTCAGTCCTTCATTTGCATTCTAAAATTTACTGATAAATTCGCAACATACCACTTACTGAAATTTATTTTTGTGTAATTTGGCATCACTTACTAGTTTAATATAAGGAAGGAGATGAAGACTTGTTTTGGGAAACACAGCTCTGAAGTATTCTGAGATACTACTTTCTAAGGAAATAATTTGCACGCTAGATTGTTCTTCAGTTATTTTTAAACACTGTCTTTAGAAATCTACTTTTAAAATCAGATTTCTCTGATTGTTCTGCAAGCGTTTGGATTTTGGCAGCATATGGATGGTGTCCCTGCTTTACATACCCCTCTTGTTGTCCAAGTCACAGTTCAGTACCAATGTCTTCCCTGTTGGGATTACAGCCCTTCGGAGCAAAACGCCTTCGGTGCAGTTTAAATTGAAACTTGAAAGATACAGCAGAGGTTTCTGTGAGTTGCCGGGAGATTTATTGTATGAAATACTCAATTTTTTTCTTGTGGAATCAAAAAGAAAATGAAATAAATGTTTGAAAGAATTTAGTCTACAGTTAAATATCCAGGCGTTATTTGATAAATCCACTTCAAGTTGAAAGGTGTTCAAACTGATTAGTATCTGTGGTAGAGGGGTTGTCAGAGCGTTTTCACGGAGATCCACAACCTGTTTGGAAATAATTCAGAATTAATTTGATAAGCCTTACAATGGAATCCTACTGGCAATATCAACAATAGCATTTGTTCTAGTATACAAGCCATTTTGCTGTTATGGAAGCAGTACGTCTGTTTAGGATTTCAAGAATGTTGTTCTAAGCTTTTTATTTTAAACAAAAAGTTTAAAATTGTATATTTAGAATTCTGCCTTTGTAGACTGTCTCAGCATGAATGTGAGGCTGCAGGGCTCTCACTGTGGAAGGGATGGAGGTAGAAAAGGGTGGGTGTGTATAAGCCAGTTGCAGATTGGTTTCTGTCATAGATAAATTATGAATTTATGGTTATATTTTGTATATTTACAAATGTTTGTGTTTTCTTACATATGAAAAGCAAATACATGTTACATAAAAATAATTACAGCTTTCACCATTTGCTTTAGTTTTTATACAAATATATTTAGTTTTGTACACTAATGTAATAACCAAAGACAAGTATAATCATACTGAACAGTTGATAATTAATATCTTTAATAGTGATTATCACAAAACACTGAAAGAGCTGTAGTATTGCTTTATAACCTGTAATTTATGGAGATCCCTGAAGGCGTCTGGATGAATTTTAGTTATCTTGTTCTTTTGCAAGTTGATGTCCTTCAGCTCTGAACAGTTTTGAAAATCATTCAGACCAATCTGTCGTATGCTGTTGGATGTCATGTGGACAGTTTGTAAAGATTGCAGCAGGCCCAGTCCTAGAAAGAACAAAAGTATTTTGGATTTCATGTTCTCACTTTCCCAGTTGCAGCAAGTGGCTTTTTAAAATTCTTTGCAGCACAATTGTTTCCATCCCTCTCTACTGCAGTGCATGGCTGCAGGCTTTGAGGAGTTTTGCATTTCTTAGTCAGTGGTTGTCCCATTCTAAAAGTCATGTAGCATCAAGAGTAGGCACATGAATACATTCCTCATTGACGCATATTTAAAAACTTCACATCTCTGTAAAAGCAGTAACGTTCCTTTGTGCTATCCAAATTATTCTGACTGCCGTCTCAGTACTTTGTGCATACTTCTCTGGAGAACTGGTGGTAGGAATAGGAGGAGGGGGGAAAGGGTGGAACACACTCTGTTTATAAAATCCAAATGTGTTAATTCTAAAAGATGGAGATGCAAAAGGTGATACAGTATCTCCTATTCACTGCCATCTGCAAGTTCATGGGAGTTCTTTATATGTGGGATTATTTGAACTCCATGTAAACCTGACTGAAAACTATGTTGCTGTGCCCATCTGCCTGTGGATTATCAAGCATGACAGCATAGTCTTCAGCATACCCTAGCTGTGACAGCATCTGTCTTGGGTAAGTAGCTCTTTTGAATGCTGGGGAGACCTCATTATTCCTGGGTGCTATGGAGGCAGCCTCAAAGCTCCAGCCTGCAAGTTCCAGTGGGAAGGCAGGCGCTTGAACACTTGGCATCACCACAGTTTTTGTAACACTGAATGTCACTGAAGTGACTTTTGATCGTATGGCATTGTTGAGAAGCTACTAGTTCTCCTTAAAAATTTTGCCCTTGGTGTCTTCTGTCTTACTGTAAATCTCTTATTCCAATTTGTGCTGCTGTTTAACAATAAACCCCAAGACGAGTTATTTAAAAGCAGCTGCTGTAAAACTAGAGGTTGTTCATAGGAAAGGAATACAGAAGTTCTGGTGCTTCATAAATTCTTCCTTGCACATGAATGAAGAATTGAAATTCGAATGCTTCCCTGAAGCTAGGTTTGTGCTAAAAATATACCCTGGTATGGCAGCGGTGGGCAGCAGCCTGACACCTGGGGTGGTGGGTTGTGAAACGGGCTTCTCTGTGGCTAAACCCCTCTGCTTTAGAAATTCAGTGTGTTCTGAACCAGAGCTTAAAAACTGGAACATTAGTAAAGTATTTTTGAGGATTAAAATAAAGTTCTGAACAGGTATTTAAGCGACTATGGGATTTAAGTATAACTTGAAGTATGGTGGTATGATATGTAGCAATTAGACTCTCAACATCTAAAAATTGAGTCACTTATAGAAAAGGGTTGATCTGTCTTCAGCCACTGAGGCATCCTATAATAGTTATATTTATCTATCAAAATAAATCAAATTTGCATCAATATATTTTATAATATAAACTTTTCTATAATGTCTATATGAGAACCTTACAGATACTACAAAATTAAGTGAAACAGTTTCCTGCATGCCACAGAATTATTCAGTATCAAAAAAGGAGAAAAACAGAACTTTGAGAACCCTGTGTAGGTGGAAAATTATTCTCTTTAGCAGATGTTGCAAGGTAAGTGGGTTTTTCATTTGCCCCCACGCCAGTATTTTCAAAATCTAGAGCTACTGAATCTGATGATACTATTGGAGATCTGTTACTTCCAGCAAACAATGTGTAGGGTAGTGCTGCTCGTGCTGCTTCTGCTTCATTTAAATACTGATTTGACCTTGTGAATCACCTTTTTATGAGGATAGATACTGTCATCAGGGCTACAGTTGAGTGACTAGCAAACACTATTAAAACCTTACAGCCCCTTTGTGTTACTCAAAGGTAACACTTTGGTTGGGAGTCAGATGGCACAGAGCAAAGCTGTTTTGACTGAACAAAATATAACTTTGTGAGATACTGAAATTGCGGCGAGTTTTGTATCAAAGACTATTGATTCTGAGAAGTAGTACAAAACTCACTGTCCATCATTTTGTTATGTTAAGGTTCATGACTGGGTTGTGGAAGCTGGTGTTTTTCTAAAGATCCTCACTCCCCTTTCTGTGTAAGGAAGACTACTATTTGGACTCTCAGAGGATAAATTTGGTTATATTTGACTGACATTAAGGCATTACAATTGCACAGACTGTATAAAAAAAACCCTAACCTAATCTGAAACAACCTGTTTGCTTCAGTCTCTGTATCTGCTCGCAGGTGGAACTTTCCCTCACCTTAACTGATGAGACAGTTGCATTCTGGATTCAGCAAGATGTACTGAGTCATACCCAAAACCCCAGCTTACCCCTTGGAAGGGAGGTCCTTAAAGACTTTGCAATGCTTACCTCTTGGAACAGTATGAAGCTTGTTTCTTTCAACTGACAATACTTTCAAAGCAGGCAGGAGACGATCGACTCTCCCATACTTGTTAGACCAATGTGCAGGCGTAGGTGTGTCCAGTATGAGGGTGTGGATGGAATTACCACTGAGGTTTAGAGTTTCTAGACCAGCTAGGTTTCTACAAGTAGTTAAGGAGACTTCAGAAATCAGGTTGTTACTGAGACTCAGGTGTTTCAGCATCAGTTCTTCCTTTCTTGCTTCAGCACACAGAAAAGTTTTAATATTATTGTAACTAAAATCGGCCATTACTGCTCTTTGTGGTAGATCTTCTGGAACAGCAGATATTCCAGTAAAAGAACAATTCAGTAGGAACTCCCCATCCCACTGACAGTCTGAATTGTGACGCCTACCAAGAAGAACGTGCTGTGACTTGACTCCCACTGATCCAGGAAGATTAAAGGACAGGACCACAGCTATGACACTCAAGTGAAGGTTATCCATTGGGTCACTGTGTAGAATGTAAAACTATGATAAGCGTGGCATAACAAGAGTTAAACAGAATAAGGAAATACTTTGACATTAAAAAAATTCAACTCTAAACAAATACCCAAAGCATTACCAACGTTTTGCCTTAAACATTCCATTTTGGAGTCTTAGGTATTTTTCAAAAAGAACATTCATTAACTGGTAACCTTCCCGCTCCCTCCACCTCTCCCAAAAAACAAGCCAAACCTTTTGTCTCTTTTTCCAGCCCTTCTGTTAGAGAAACCCAGGAACTCTGTTCTCAGGAACTTCTGAACTTCAGGCATCCCACACAATCACCACTGAGCAAAGTCCACCAGATACAAGCCCTGACGCATAGATATGGAATGATTTTCATACTTGCAGTTAATAAAATGCTAGCTTCCTTGTCAATAACACAACAATGTATTTTTAATGAAAAACCACATTCTTACAAATAACACCTTGCAACTGCAGCTGCGCCTTAGAATTTGTTGTTTCACTCAAGACAAAGATCAGAAACCACCCCCACCTTTACATATGCTGAGAACTCTTCTCATGTAAGTTGTTTCAGCATACCCACAATGGTATTTTACACAGAGGCACGTAGAAAGTACTTGAAACACAAAATCTTCAGCTCATCTGTATAAAGAATAACGTGCCATGCAATATTTTAAATACATATAGAAAAATGTACCTTAGGTGGTTAGAAGATAAGTGACAAATAAATGCACAACAGAAGGTGTGTGCGGTGAAGGCAACAAAATAAATGAATGGTACAGAAATAGTGGTAACAAACTGGTAATTTATTTCATTTGGTATTTGTAAGATGATATTTGCTACATTTTGACAAAAAAACCCCACACTTCCAAACCAATTCTCTAGACCATGATTTAAGAGTACCTTTGTGACTAATCTTTTAGCTGCATTGCATGCAGCGTTTTAAAAAGAACGCTTGATAATTACAGGAACCTGGTATTAGCATGTAGGCATGTCAGTATTAACCAGAGAAAAGCTTTAATATCTTCTTCGTGTATAATTACTTGATCAAGACAGTATCTGTTATTTTACCATCTATTTCAGCTTTGAGGATGGCTTGTATTTTTATATGTCTGTGTATGTTTATACATATAAAAATGAAGTGACCAACTTCCATTAGCATGATTGAAAATTCTAAAAATGTAATAGTTTATTTCCTCTTATTAACTGTAAGAGCTCCTAACTGAGGCACTACTTAGCAGCAAAGATGTGTGCATGTTGTCAGCAAAATGTGCATCAAAGTCATTAATAAATATTAACTCTAGTGCAACTATGAAATTCATGAAGGCAGTATGGAAAATGTTAGTACTTTCCTACAGTCTTTAATGTGAGCAATTCAGCAACTTGTGGTACATTTTACTCTGTTTATTCTGGTTTTGTTAGACTGCGTCCACTGGTGTCTGCTCACCAAAACCCCAACAAATACTGAGCATCCCAGTCTGGCTTTGCCTTTGAGCAGTGAAGGAGACGGGACCCCTCTGGCCTCCCATGTAGTGTCATGCCTGACCTAAGGATTCCCCGCTAGGAATCACCTCCACTCATACGCATCCTCCACGAGGACTGACTGACTTGTAGTAAATACATGAATTGGGACCTTAGATATGAAGTTCCTGCTGCAGCAGGAGCTGATGTGTATTTTGTAGAATTCCATGTACTTTGAGAGCTCTACAGTCAGGGCAGATAGTTTATCTTGCCCTATCAAATGACCAGTTCTGAAGTTAATGTGTAACATTTGCACAGCTTTCAGGAAGAGAGGTGTGTGCTTGTCTAGAAAAACTTGTCAAAAAGCCACCTGCAAAGTCATCTTTGTGGCCTCCATTATTAAGGTTACCTGATGCTACTGCAAAACACAACTATTTTAAAGTGATGAAACACATGGGCTGGGGAAAGGAGGAACCTTACAATGAGCTGGTCTGATTTCAGTACCGAACCCCTTACCCCTGTGAAAGCAGTTACAAGGCTATGAGAGCTGCTGTAACGCCACAGCCCAGCCCATCTTTCAAAATGTTCTTCTAATATAAACAAGTTTTATAAATACTGCACTTAAATTAAGTGACTGTAGAATGCTTAAACTGCACAGATAGAATAGGAGCTCAAGCAGCACTTCAATAATCACAAGACTATTTAAAAATGGAAGTTACATTTCCACACTCGATATTACGTTGAAAATATTATTTATTCCAGTAGAACTACTTTAAGTACTTGAGGATATATGGCAGAAATAATGCAATATTTTAAAATTAATCTGTCATTGCCCTCTCTTAATACATACATGGCAAGCTGCATAATTTTGGAGGAAATCATATTGGCTTTTGGCAAGAAATGAAGACAAAAATCTGCCACTTCAGTGATTCTGGGGAAAGCCACTTCCAAAAACAAATTGACACTGCTGTTGAAGTACTTCAGATTGCACTTGTGTTCTCAGCAGCCCTCAAGGCCTTGGGATGTAGGACAGAAACCTCCTCTAAAGGCAACAGAAGGCAGATGAGATTGTTGCTAAGATCATGTTCTTTAAGATCATTCTACTGATCCAAATTCAAGAAGGTATTTCAGTATGCACGGAGACTGAAAACCTACTATATCAGTGCCACTATTACTGCTAACAGGATGACGACATAATACTGCTGAACGTAACAACCTTTGTTTAAAAATACTATGTAATAAATGTTAGTATAAATTGCTGTAAAAACAGAAATCCTTGAAGGCATGCAGTTACTTCATACAAACACATGTAAACAGAGAAGAGCAGACTCCTGGTAGTGGCCTGTGGTTTAGTGCGTGGCTCCACAGGGGTTGACAGAGGTCTGACAGCCCATGTTCTGCCCCGTCACCTGCACCTTGAAGATCGTCCCGTCCGCACACATGCAGAGCTTGAACCGCAGCCAGTTCCCGTTACTGAACTGCTCCCCGTAAGAAGAACTTGGCAGTCGTGACGGGCTGACCATCACCGTCCCGTTCAGGATAATGCTGTTTTCCTGTTCAAAAAAAGGTGCAATTTCTAATTTAAACAAGGGGGCTTGTTTTTGAAAAGGTCAAGCTGGTTTAACGAATAAATGACATCTTTAGGGTGGCTGCAGAAATCAACAGAATAAAAATGTATATATGACACCGTTTCATTTTTTTAAATTAAATTTCTGAATAATGCCCATGAATTTCTCAGTTATAGTCAGCAATGTACTTTGCTATTCCCGTAGCAGATTGATACTGAGAGAGACAGCAATAGTGTGGCTTTTCACTTTACAGACCTCTTAGCAAATGCAGTAAATCTAAAACTATGGATATGAAATGGGAATCAGTCTTTGAATTCATACATGGAATTCATGTACACATGAAATTAAAGTTCACGTATCTCTATTTTTTGTGTTCTCCCTTAACCTTTTCCATCATCCTATATGCCTTAAAAATATCCAAAAATCTTAAATGCCTGCTGGCAAGTATGACTGTGGCAGTACAGAAGGTAGGGCTCTTAGCTGTGTGCTCACTCCTCTCTCAAAGGCTGCTGACCCCAGTAAAGCCTCCAGAAGAGATGAATTCCCTCTGGCATTCCTTTCAGTGCAGGGGCCAAAACCTTAGCTTGGTGGGGTTTTAGCCTCTTAACGGGATTAAGTCATTGTTACCTGAAAACTGCTGAAGCCCTAATTAACAGCAAAGTAAAAACCACCTTTTAAAATCCTACTAAATACACCGACTGCAACTAAACATTTATGCGTGCCTGCTTTATATAAAATCTTAGACCATATATAACACAACATCAGTTTATTATCAGCCTGAATTTGAAAGGAAGCTATTACAAAAATGCTGATTTGCAGTACTTACTGCTTTAAGCTCCATGTTACCCCCCATTCGAAACTCAATGGTCTTGCCTGTGATGAAGACACCTTCGTTGCCACGGACAATAGCGCGGCCATCGACCTTTATGTTTAGGTCACTGGTCGCATTGCTGGTGATCTAAGAACACAAACAAAAAAAGTGCATTACAGAGGAACAAAAAACATGTCACTGGGGTTTGTCCGAGTAACTTTTATTGCCTTAAAAATATCTCTGCACAATTTAATAAAAAACTTCAATGTACTTCTTGCCCTTCTGCCATTACGCTTATGAAGCTTCTGCCCATTTGATAATTCGTATGTTCCCATTTAAAAACAAGGATTACTGCATTTTGGAAGGTATGTAAAATAGTTTATTCTTGCAACAAAAAAGACAGTGAATATGACCAATTTATGTGATACACAGTTAACACTCATAGCACATACAGGCTTCCTGTTAGGACTGATAATGTACACTTACTACTCTGTTTTTGTTTAATCTGTTCCTTCTATGTATTTATAGGTTTGTTTTCTTTTTTTTTTTTTTTCCTGGCACATACTGTTTAACTGTCTTTGCAGAGGAGACATAAAGGAGAGTAGACTACATTCTCTTCATCCCCAACAGGATTGTTCAAAGCTTCCTAAGCCACACTCAGCCCTCTGTGAAACCACTGATACTACTCTACTGCTACACAAAATATGCACTGTACTCTGTCTGTAATGCCTCTGAATGATGATACTCAAGAAAGAAATTTTATTCTGGTATTAAGATCAACATTTTAAATGTGCACACAGTGATATTTAGGTTTTTTAGTTTTCTGATCAATAAAATATATTTAGTGTAGCAGCCAAACTAGGAACTTGTTTAACCTAGAAGCCAGGAGCTGACCCAACTCCTGTAGTGCTGTGATTGTTCTCTACACTTTTATTCAGGCTTCTGAATTTCTGACTATTAACATTTATCTCCAAGAGAATTACCAGAACTTCATGCCTAATTTTCCTTATTTTTTTTAAGATCTTACCAGAAACAGAGAAGCTTCTCATACAAATGTTATTTCTGAAGCAGTTGTGCATGCACAAATGGATAAATGCTCAACAAAAAGACACACAGGACTAGCTTGCACCATATTCTTAATACTCCTGACTCATCTAATCACGTCCGTTTTCATTTCTGTTCTGATTTTTAGGGCAATTTGAATTTTCAGAGCTGCATTTTCAGCTACATTTAGTCAAATTTCTAAATATGCCAGAGAGATCAGTTTAGTGAACTTTTTTTTTATTCTACAACTAAGGCAATCCTATTAACTTAGAAGAAGTTAAGTGCCAGATAAGAGACGCACCCTCTCTGTAGAGGCCTTCTGCACATTCAAGATTTTAACTCCATTTGGCAGATGAAATTCATGAGTTTCATAGTCTGTGCTGAACAAGGTATTTTGTGTCCGTGGGTCAACAAACTCCATGCCAATATCGCTGGTAATAGAGGTTTTGTCTTTTTCCACACTGAGCCTGGTCGTTCCTTGCTGAAATACAATCTTCAGAAACAAAGTCATGAAGTTAACGATGTGAAACAACTACATGAAATAATGTTGATTAATAACGTGACTGTAATTCCACAGAGCTGCTCACAGACTGTCAATTCATGATCTAACTTACAGGCTGATTATTTCCAGTGATCACCAAATCCTCGTTACGTCTGCCTCCTACGGTGCTTTTATATAAGGGATGTATAACGCCCATGTCAGAAACCTGCTTAAACCTCAGCAAGCCGCTCTCGTGGAACTCCATGCTGTCACAACCATTGGGACCAATTCGAATCACTGCCCAGATAACCAGTGTGATCTGCAAGAGAAACACACATTTTCAAAGAGCACTTCAATCATTCAGCTCTTCCCACGACAAGTACTGTATTAATTAGATGTTCCATTTTAAATAATTATTAATGCTAGCATTTAAGTGAGCTTCAGGTGGGAATTCACTTTAGTCTGTTCAATTCCGACGGGAAACATCAGAACACATTTAATTATGAAACGCATTTTACATGATTTTTAGACTCATCTGAAATGGTGACTAAAGTAATTTATATATATATTTTAAATATTTATATATATGTGTGTATATATATTAAAAATAGACATATATTTGAAATTAAATCACATCCATAATTAAATATTTTTCCTGTTTAAGGGTAACCATGCTGTCATTAGCTAAACAAATTTCCTGAACAAAGCAGCTCAGTTCAAGACATACGTACCCTTGAACTTCAAGAAAGCACTTTCACAGGTGGATGTCAAATTATGGAAAATAATTTTTTACTTCTCATTGATTGAGCAAGAAAACGGTGGTAATTACAATGAAGGTTAAAAGTGCTGATTAATTCTGAATGCCCACTTGCAGCTCTGTTATTATACATAAAATACTGTTATTATACGTAAAATATTCCTGGCCTAACAGTTTATCCTGAATGTGGTTGTACTGGACTAATAGCACTTTGCATATTTGCTGTCACTGAGTTTTAGGAACAGAGATACACTTTCAAGGTTCCTAATTTAGTGTTGCATAAATGGTTATGTTCCCTCCTAGGACCATGATAACTGTCATGTCTGAATTTAACACTATTATGTCTGAATTTACAGGATTATTCCTTCTAATCTTGCTCAGACTACAAAAACCAAAAAAGGAAGAAAAATGAGAAATCTCCTTCAGGAATTTTAAGTCCTTCTCAACCATACTAGAGTTTTATTTCTCTAACAAACTGTTAAAATGAAAGATGCCCTAACGGTGCTTACAGCCTAAGTATTATACTCACAATCAGATTGATGACAGCCAAAATAAAAAGAAGAACAATGACACAAATGGCCAAGTTGCCTTTCCTGCCACGTAACCCTGTCTTATGGAGACGGTCTTCATCAATTGGGATGTATCCTGCTTTAAAGTTACTGTTGTGCTCCTTATTAACGTTCCTGCGTTCCACGGCCTTCTCTCGCATTGACTTCTTCACCGGGCCATTAGAGCTCTGCTGTAATACAAAGCACAGATTAACTGTTACAGGGCAAGTATATCCACCAACTTGACACACGTACGTGTATGCAAAAACCAGAAATTTGAGTTGACAAGTGGAATACATTCGATATTATGCTCAATACTGTATTTCAGTCTGTCACTCTGTACTCAGAATACACGTTTACGACCACTGCCAACTGCCAGCGCAGTGACTAAAACTACGATCCAGATATTTTCAGACAATATATAGTTTTATAGCTAAACTTTATTCTGGTAGGTAGGAACTGTTAATGACATTGTTGCAGTAAAAATGAACAACCATTGGAAAGAACTTCATCAACTTTTTACCTCTTGGGGATGACACAGGGCATAATCCTGTAGGACATTTACCAATACACAGGATTTTAGTTCTTCCCATACTAATGTGGCATAGGCTCTCAATGAATCTATGCAAAAGGAGTGGGGTGGATACAGTTTTTAAGCTAGGTAGCACAGGATTTGCATTCAACTTCTATTGCTTGTCTTAAGAAAAAGACTGCTAAAGACTTCAAACTTGGCTTGGGAATTTGGCCAGCCTAGCTTTAATTTAAGAATTTTAAATTACTAGGTTGCAAGCGATATCCCATCAATGTAACAAATAACACGTAGAGGAAACTCTTGTAGATATTCATAGGGAAAATATAGTTTGATGTACTTTTGTAACTCTGTCCAAAATCTTGTTCCATCTCCCTTGAACAGAACAGGTTGCTATTCAGGGGTTTAATTCTTCAAAGAAGGAAGGCAATCTTTTTCATGGGATTTAATTCTGAAATGAAACCCAAACCTGCACCTTAAGTTTACTGCACTTGCATGTGTCTATACTGATGTAAAGGGTAAAAGTCTCTTGTTTTCTTCTGCTGTCAAATTAAAAGGGTGTGGAGCAAGATGCTTGACCTGAACAGGTTTATGGAGGGCTTTCTTAATGGTCTTCTGGAAGCCACTCTAATCCTGCACAAACTCAGACTTAGCCAGGCAGAGAAAACAAGAGTGGAGGTCTGCGCTGTGGGGAAAAGTAAAGAGAAATCTTGTACAACAGGGCAGTATCTTCTGACAGCAGTGTGTTCTTGAAAGGATGTGGTGGCGACACAAAGGTCCAACATAGTTTTTGCACCTGGTAAGTCAGTACATCAGAAGGCAGCACCAGGACCAGGAAAGCATGGCTGAAATGGCCATTGCTGAAACAAGTGCTGGAGCATCCACGCAGAATTAGGTGCTACTTCCTCTGGCACCCAAGACAAGGCTGGTACAGGACCCCTCAGGAATCTGAGGCTTCCCACCTGCAGC